GGCTATTCAAATGAAGGATTATAAGTTTTTGGTTTCACTAGTTTTCTGGCATGATTTACTTTTTCAAGTGAATTTTGTGAGCAAAGAGCTACAGAGTGATACAATGGATATTTCTGCAGGAATTTCTTCATTCGAAAAGCTTTGTAACTGGTAAAAAACATACAGAGAGAAGGGTTTTCAAGAAGTGTTAATTGGTGCCAAAGATCTAGATGTGACTCCAGTATTCCAGACTAAACACTTGTGCAAATGAAAAAAACAATTTGAGTACGAGTCTGCAGACGAGCCTTTTTCTGATCTAAAAGAAGTTTACAGAGTGCAATGCTTCAATCAAGTGTTAGACAAAGCTTTACAGTCACTTGAACCAAGGTTTGAACAGTTACAAAAGCATGTGAGTTTATTTGGATTTTTATGTGAATTCAAAAATCTTCCCAAGGACACCATATGAAAATCTGCTGCAGATCTGGAACTTGCATTGACAGATGTGAAACTAGTGCAGGAGAACGAACAAGTTTCAACTGTAAAATCAGTTGACATAAATGGCTACATGCTTTGTGAAGAGCTGGAAGCATTAAAGCCAATTCTTCCTTCTGATTGTAAAACCCCCCTAAAAATACTTCAATTTCTTGCATATAATAATCGATCAACAGCATTTCCAAATTTATTTATAGCAATTCGAATCTTACTGACTATTCCGGTAACTGTAGCCTCAGGAGAGAGGAGCTTCTCGAAGCTAAATCTTATTAAAACATATCTGCGATCAACAATGCTGGAAGACCGATTAAACAGTTTGGCAGTCATGTCAATTGAATGCGAAGTAATGAAGAGCTTAGAGTTAGGCAATATACTGAAAGATTTTGCTAAACAGCAAGCAAGGAAGATAAAGTTTTAAAAACATATAGGTGAGGTGTACAATAAAGTCCCTCTTATTCAACTTGATATTTATAATATATGACGCAATGTACCGAAACTTTTGTGTGGTATGTGTGGGGTTTTTTTTTTTTTTTTTTTTTTGCTCAACAAAATATCCTGGGGGCCGGGGCCCCGTCAAAACTGTTCGAATTGGGCCCTGCACTTCTTAAAGCCGGCCCTGGCCAGCAGCTCTGGTTCCCTGGGCAGATCACTCTGGTTCTCAATGCACCCTGCGTCAGTTTGTCTTTTGTGCTCCGTTCCAGGCAGCACTTTTACAACAGCCCAGTTACATAAACCTACATAGGAGGTGACTATGAGTAAGCTCTTCTCAGCCACAGGCACAGCCAGGATCTCTCCCCTCCAGGGACAATCTAGACAACCTGCTAGATCCAAGCCCCACCTGTTAACAGTAACACACTCTAGCTGCAACACAACAGCTCCTGGCCAGGAAAAGGCTCCACACCAGCAGCCTGGCTCCTCTCTCCAAAATGGAGCCTAGCCTAACTCCCCTTTAAACCTGGGACGCTGCTCGCCCTGACTAGTGTTCTGGGCAGGAGGCAAAACTTGGCAGCTTACAAAAGCAGCCCCCAGCCACCGAATCTAACTCCCTTTGGAGAGGCAGGGCAGGAAAGCGGTGCCTGCTCCAGGCACTGCCCCACCCAGCCCTGGCAAGTGGGCACTGCCCTCCCACCCCCCCAGCCTGGCGCTGAGGAAACCCTCTGCCCCTCCCTCCTTTGTTGTTTCATGTGCTGCAAAGCTCCTCCCCTCCCCCCATCCCACTGGGTTCAGTTTTATCCCGGAGGGGCTGGATCTGCAGCACGGCTCTGGGAGGCAGCAGCAGCCAGGCCTGGCCCCGGAAGCCCAACCCTCATGAGCTGGGGCTTGGCCAGGCAGCTCCCGGTCTGAGCTAAGCCCTGATGCTGGCCCGTGACCGGAGTCACTGACCTTCGCATGCACAGTCGTCATCCCCCCCTCCAATTCTGCACCATCCTGGCCAGGTTTTCAATACATCCCATAACCCCTGTCAGCTGGGCACAGTCCCAGGGCAGCCCCTTCCTGGCTTTGGCTGCTGCTTTGTGTGCCTGTGGGACTCATGGTGCTGTGATCTGGTGTAAATGAAGTTTCACTCCACATCACGGGTTGTGGCTTTGCTGACCCCTATTGCTTGTAACGCTGGGGTCACAGTGTGCAGTAGCGGGGGGCAATTTCTGCTTCATGTTCTTATCCATAAATCCTCCTGGATGTGATCAGCAAGAGTCATTAGCAATTAATGCTCATTAACATCCCATGGGATCCAAGTGCCCCCCCATGCTCACACATGCTGGGCGCTCGTTGGAAGGTTGTAGGGGACGATCCTGTGTCTGCTGCTGGGGAGGGGGGGGGCCTGTGCCCTGCTTTTTGCTGTGGGGTTGGTCCCTGCAGGCCTGGCTGAAGGTGGCTGCCACCAGATTCCTCCCCAGGCCTTTGCTCCACCCGTGGGGCCCGTACCTGGCAAATGCCACCAGGTGGCAGCAGGGCAGAGAGAAGTGCTGTGGGCTCTGGCAGAAGGAGTCAAGGCATTAGGACAGCTGGACCTTTCATAGCCCAGCTGGGAAGCTGCCCTCTGCCCTGCCCAGGGAAATAAAAATCCCTCTGCCCCCCACCTGCCTTTGCACACTCAGCAGGGGGCTCATCCACTGGGACAACTGTTACCCCCTCTGCTCCTACCTGTGTGGGGCAAACTTCCTCACAAGCACTGGCAGCCTCTCCCTCCTGAGCCAAATCCCAGCTCCTACCTCCTTCCTGATTTTCCCCTCCACCCACAGTTCTGCCTCACCCTGCAGTCACTTGCTCTCCCCAGCCTAGTAATTTTCTGCCCCCTGCTCAGACCCTGCCTGTCCAGTACTTGATTTGCCACCTGAACCCCTTATTAATACTTGTCAAGAGCCCAAAACAGCATCCGGACCCACCTAAGGGCAGAATGAGGGAAACAGCAACAGCAGCTGGAAGGAGAGGTCAGGGTGAAGGTGGGGGTGAGGATGCTGGCTCTCAGAGGGGGGGTCATGTCTGGGATGGATGCAGGCTCAGCGAGGGGGCTTAGTGCAGAGAGAGGAGTTCAGGCTGCTGGGGTGTGTGTGTGCATTGCAGCCCTGTATATGGTGGCTTGTCAGCAGAGGTGCTGCCACAGGGATTGCCAGCTGTCTGGTGGCAGAAACTAGTGTACCGTGGAGGGTACGTGAAGAGAATAGCTGAGAAATCCTCAGGGCACAGGGCAGGAGCGGTGTTATTGCTCCAGGCTGGTGTGGTTTGTGTGTAGCAGACTTCAGTGTCTGAGCGGTGCCTCCTGTTCCTGGGCTGGACTCAGTCTGCTGCTGTCCCACAGTGCCCATGTGCTCTGACCCCCCTGTTTCTGTAGCTCTGCTAAAAGAAAGACACTCTGTGTGTTACTGGCTGCTGGGACCCGGCCTGACAGGCCGCAGGGGTGACGCTGTCAGACACACACAGGGAGCTGGGGATGGCATCACAGGCTGGGAGGCGATGGATGCTGGCCTCCCAACCGTGGAATTGCAATGGCAGGTGGGGCGAGGACAGGACAGGACTAGTCCTGAAGTGTAGACAGCGATGGTTGCTGGATGCAGCAGAGAAGGGGGAGGGGCTAGGAAATTGCTCTTTGCAGCAACAGCCTCAGCAGACAAGAGCAACACAAGGTCACATTTCTCAAGGCAGCAAAACCAGTGACCCAGGCATTGGGGGGAAGAGACCCTGGAGTTTAGCTGTGAGTGGTGACGGGAGGGGTGGTACGTTAGTGACACCGTCCAGAAAGAACCAGCCAGATTGAGCCAGAGCTGAAGTGTGAGGACCAGAGAAAGGTCTCGGTGGAAGGTGGTGACCAGTGGAAGGGTCTGAGGGAGACGCAGGACATAGAAACGTTCCCACCTGCACATCTGCTGCCCTAGAGCTAGATTCCGACCCTGGTTCCTTTGGCCTCAGCTGCCAGCCAGTGTCTGGGCCTTGCTTGGTTCTGCCATTGGCAGGAGAGACTGATTGTAGGAGTCGGATGTTTCTTTGGTGCAAATTTTATTATTTACAAACAACATCCACACATTCCTGTGCCCTGAACAGGGTAGAAAAACAGCAGCTGGCAGGTCCCTTACTCAGAGCTTCATGTCTGTTTGTAGGGAACGTCTGTGTCCTGCCAGGCTCCCGCTCACAGCTGCTGCTACCCCAAGCTGCAAGCCAGTCCCCCGCCTGCACCAGGGAAACCCTCTGAGGCCTGCTTCACACTTACACTTAGATCAGCGGAGCAATGTCACTCAGGGCTGTGAAATATTTTGTGCTGTGATTTCCCCAGCTACATGGACCTAACTTCAGTGCAGTCAGTGGAATTCTGCCAGTGACTTGACTACAGCCTGTCAGAAAGGTGGGTTAACTAGAGTGACAGACAATCCATTTCTGTCTATTCAGGCAGCATATATACCAGGGGTGGGCACTCATTTTTTCCCTGAGGCCACTTCAAAAATTTTTGAAGTCGCCCCGGGCCACCACAGAAGGGGCGGGGCCTAAACAGGAAGGGGGACTTAAATGGGAAGGGGCAGGGCTGATTGGTCTGGGGTGGGGGAGCCTCTTTACCCCCCCTCCACCTATGCCCTGGAAGAGGCTTGGTATGCTCCCCCACCCCCAAGCCAATCAGGGTCTGGGGGCGGAGGAGCATGGGAAGCCTCCTCCCGCCCTGCGAGGAGCACATGGCACTTAGAAGGGCATTGTTCCAGGTCATAGGATGGACAGGGGCTACAGAAGCCCATTTTTTTTCATTCCTACTGGGCTTCCCCAACCTGTCTCAGTGACACTGTTTGACCCAGGATCCCAAGTCCTCCTGCATCATAGAAGACAGCAGCAAACAGGCGACCTGGGATGAGATCGACATCTCTGCCTTGCTCCCTCAATGCTCTGTAGGGTTGGATATAAACCTGAAGCCACCTCGGGGGTCATAGAAGCTGCATGACAAAGTCCACAGGAATCGATCACAGAGCCTGGGCTATCTGAGGCTAGAGTGTCTGATCTCCGGGTCCCTAGTAGGATGTTCTTTTCCTTCGCTCCTGCCCTCTTGCTATCTAAGGGCACAGGCTGAGCCAGGCTCTTCGCCCCACCCAGAGCCAGGGTTGGATTCTCTCCCCAGGGAGGGAGCCGGGTGGGAAAGTGAAGATCGGGGCCTCGTCACCAGCATCGATAAATGTCACCTGCCCCTGGTCACAGTCCAGACAAACCCGGGCCCTGCTGGGGGCCCGGCTCAGGGTCAGAAGGGTCTCTTTAGGTGAGGTGAGAGCCCAAAACTGACTCAACACATACCCCACAGCCCAGACACCACCCTCAGGGCTGAGGCTGATTTCTCCCTTCCGACTCACAGACTCTCTGGCCACCCCCACTGCCCAGTATCCCCCACCCCCCACCTCCACCTCCCAGCTGTGTCTCCCTGAGGTGAATCCCTCACAGACCAGCACACAGAGCTTAGTATCAAATCTCTCAGGGGTGTCGGGCAGTGGCTGCCGTGTCTGTTCCCATCTCACACCTTTCCCATCCTCAGACAGGACGAGCTGGGGATGAGCCGTGTCTGGATCCAGAGTCACATTCGCTGGGGAGAGAGAATCAGAGCGTGAGGGGCAGAGCTAGCCCTGGCGGGTGGGGAGCAGCTGGGGCCATTTCTCACCCTCCCCAGCAGCCCTGTTGTGGCTGGGACAGGCCTGGGTCCTGGGCCCTGAGACTGAGTGGAGCTGTCACTGCAGTTCTTCAGCCTGGGCAATGGGACCCCACTTCATAAGTGTCCCATGTGTCTGCAGAGGCTTTGGCCTCCCCCCCACCCCCCAGCTCAGGCTGCTCCATTCCCCCCCCACTTCCAGGCCAGTGCGCAGAGGGGGAGGTGCAGCGCGGGGGAAGAGCCGCCTAACCCTAGAGAGCAGGGGGTGGTATTGGATGGGGGAGGCCAGAGAGAAGGGAGGAGCTGCCAGTGTCACAGGGAGGGCATCTCCCCAAGGCAGGGAGCAGCTCCAAGAAGAGAGCCCAGCCCTGCCATGGGGGAAGGCCAGCTGGGGGAGAAGAGCGAGGGGCTGGAGGTTGGAGTGTACAACCCCTGTGTTTGGCGCTGGGGGTTTTGGAACACTGGAGGGGGCGGCCAGTGGAGGGAGGGGGTTGTGGTGCTGGAGGGGGTGAGGGCTCTGGGGGAGCCCTGGGGATGAGGGGGTTGGGATGCTAGAGGGGGCTCCAGGTTTGGGAGGCGAGGGGGAGGGGCTCTGGATGGAGCTGTGGGGGCTTTGGGGTGGGGCCTGGGATGAAGGGATTGGGGTGCAGAAGGTAGCTCCAGGGTTCACAGGAGGGCTGGGAGGGGAGGGGGTGGTGCAGGTACATGGGGGCTCTGGTTTAGCTGGCTGGCTCCTGGTCAGCAGTGCTAAGGCCGGTTGCTTGGTGCCTGCCTGTTGTGAGGCATCATGCTGTGCTCTGGAAGTGGCCAGCAGGTCTGGCTCTGGCAGGGGGGGGGGGAGGGGGAGAAACAGGAAGGGAGCATGAGTCTGAGACACACTGCCCACAGCTCTTGCTCGCAGGCATCCTCCCCCCAAGTCCCCATTGGCCGATGGCAGCGTAGGGCCAACGCTCAAGGTAGGGGAGCGTCCAGAGCCCAGTGACCTCCCGCCGAGGAGCCAGAGCTGCTCTGGGCTACTTCCCTGCCAGCCCCGGCACAGAGCTGTCACTGGAGATGTTTTCACTGGAATTCTCTCACAATGTAACAGCCAACTCCTTCTGCCAACTCGCCCGGTCGGTGCGCTCCCAGGGGTTCCCCTCCGCGAGTCTCCAGTGCAGAAAAAGGGGAGATTGCCTGCAAAGCTCCAGGCCTGCCCAAGGCCAGCAGCTTGTGCAGTCAACATGGCCTCTGCCCTCAAACTATTCCCATATTAAGAAGTAAGGGGGCCTGGTCATCACATCTTTTGAAGTGGGCAGGCCAGGGCCCCCGGTTCCCCTGATCAAGGACCCTGGGTTAGGTTTAGGGCTGTACATGCCACAGTCGCTGTGGATTTGGTTGGTAACTTTGGCTACAATGTTAGGAAGATGCTTTCACTGGAATTTTCTCATCATTTATAGACAATCTCCACCTGCAACCTCACCCTGTCTCAATGCTCCTAGGGATTTTCCTCTTGCTCCCTCCAGTGCAGACGGCAGAGAGTCTGGCGGGGGAAAGGATAAGAGAGGTTAGATTTCAGGCTCTCGTATTTATAGCAGCCCCCCCGCCGCCCCTGAACAGCTAGAACTGCATTTAAATTATGACAGAGCCAACCGAGACAAACTCAGCTACTTAATATGAAAAGGTCTGAAACCTGCTATTTCTCATTCCGGTATCTCCCAATGGAACCAACATCTCTGCCGCCTCACACCCCTCCCAGGAGAGACAAGCCACGAGTGAGATTTAATTCTCTCTCCTCATCCCCTCCCACCCTTCGGACTTGGGTTTCTCTCATTCACTTAGTTTCTTTAGTCCTCACCTAGGCCCAGATCCTGAAAAGACTTTGGCATCAAAGTAAATTTTCCCCACTTTGGGCTTTTCCCCACTAACGGGATGCTCAGAGTTTGAAAAATCCCGGGTCTGGTTACGAGCTGCGAGGCTATTTAATCAGCATCTCGGCAGCGAGCCACTTGACGGGGGCCTCGTCTTCCACAGGCACAAATACGAACAGCAAGAATTCATTTTATTCCTGGGGAAACTGAGGCAGGGGCAGGTTGGCTCCATGGGCCAGATTCACCCTGTACCGGCTCAGGCAGGGTGGGGAGGCCCATTGTGACCCCGCTGTTCAGCGGCTGCTAGGGCTGGTGCAGAGCGTGGCTCAGGCTCAGAGTCACATCCCGGTTACAATGGCCCCCTGTGCCAGGAAGCAGAGAGCCAGAGGTCC